AGAGAAATAGTTAGATTCAAGGTTACTTTTTCAGAAAATCAGGATTATAAATCTATGGATGTCTTAACGAATTGCTTGCAAATATATGAGAACTTCAACCCTTGGACAAATTTATAGCTGTCGCTAGTTAGACTCGTCCATTGATCTGATTGGCGACTGCATCGATCGATGTTGCTATCGCAGTGTCGATCGATATAAGCTGTCGTCGATCGATAACTCTAGAGAAGTATCGATCGATATTAAGTATCAGATCGGATCGAATTTTGTTCACCCGGGAATTTCTATCAGACCGGCTGTCGCATCGTGCCTTAATAGAGTCTGGGTTTAGCCAAATGATTTCAGGAAGATGACTATTATATTAATCACTCCATAATCAATACTCTAGGTAGCAAGTCTAGAGTAAGCATTAGGGTTCATTTGGATAATGAATATAACAACTCAACAATCCATAGTTGGGGCTAATCCCTCATAACTATTTGAACCCCAAATCTAACATATGAATCTACTCAGACATAGCCAAGAGATTCATAGCAAAAGAATAAGAAGAAAAGAAAATGCTTTNCTAGAGTAAGCATTAGGGTTCATTTGGATAATGAATATAACAACTCAACAATCCATAGTTGGGGCTAATCCCTCATAACTATTTGAACCCCAAATCTAACATATGAATCTACTCAGACATAGCCAAGAGATTCATAGCAAAAGAATAAGAAGAAAAGAAAATGCTTTTATTGCTAAGTATAAAATAGAATACAAAACTTAGTTCAAAAACTTCATATCTTTTAAGGCTCATAGGCATAGCTATAGATAGGGAGTACAATTAGGTTAAAAACTCGTCTGGGGAATCTTGTAATTTGGTGAGAACTTGGGCTTCAAGTTGGCCAAATAAATCTTGCTCATCACGCTCTGTATCGATCGATGGTACATTGCGTACATCGATCGATGGAGTATCTCAACTTCAACTTCTACGGAAGCGTCATCGATTGATTACACAGGGTGTGTATCAATCGATATGTATCTCTTAATGTCAGATCTTCATAGTCATCTTGGAAAACTATTCTTTAAGCCCCAAAAGGCACCTAAATCATCACTTTACCACAAAATGCTCATGAGCCTGAAACACATACCTAATAGACTCCAAAACATAGATAATTATAATAAAAACATATAGAAAATATGACCAAAAGTGGGTCAAAATCATGGTATATCAAAAAACAAAAGAAAAAATGTGTCCTATAAAGATTAGAGAATGAAGATATAGGGGCATAAGATGAATTGCGTCTGGTTGTCGCTACTCTTTTTCCTTCAAAGTGCTTTCGTAAATCCTAGCGGCCAATGGCGCACGGCGGCTATGCTAAGAGAAGGGTTTCTGAACCCAATAACACGGCGGGAAGCAGCAGCTGGAGGCCGAAAGGATTACGCGTCGAGAAGAAACCTAAGATTGTCTTTCTCAAGAATCAGATGCGTTCTGTTGAACGCTCTCTCCGTAAAGTCAGCTCCTTTCCTCTATATGTCCTTTAGGGTTTCCTGTAATTAAGGTTTTATGGTCGAATCTCTGTCAAAGTTCCAGCCTTTCTAATATGATGGCGATTCAGTTAGGTGCATGGTCTGTGTAGAGCTTAAGGGTTACATGCCATGTTTCTTATATGTTTATGATTGGTCAATTGTCTGTAGGATTTACCTCCTGAAGTTAAAGAGACTCTAAAGCAGACGTTGGAGTATCTGAAGAAGCAGCAAGATGACCATACTCGTCTTGCTGTAGAACGTAAAGTATTCCTAAGGAACATAAAGATTAGGTTCTTTGGTAAGAGGTGTTTTGACTTGTGTTTTTTTTTGTTGACTATCTCTCTCGAATGTACAACTTTTTTTTTCTTAAATTAGAGCGGAGAAAGATCGAAAGGAGCATTAGACGTCTTGAAAAGATACAACGTACTTCATCTGCTCATGTGGGAGACGCAGACATAGCTGAGCAACTCTGTAAACTCAAACAAGACCTTGAATACGTATATTATAATATGGGATCGAGATAGTTATTTACTTTTTTAATTTTTTCTTTGATGACAGGTCTGATGTCTGAGTATGCGCGTCCTGGAAGTGATCCAGGAAGAAAATATGGTACCATGTGAACAACAATTCAAACTCTTGGAAGTGTATATACTGTATGAAAGACTTTAATGGTGGAATTTCACGTCTCAAGCAACACTTGAGAGGGGATCATAGGAATGCCAAAGCTTGTACATTATGTCCACCACATGTGAGAGAGGAGTTAATCAAACACAAGAAGATGAAGTATGATGAGATAGAAGCTCGTAACATGGTTATCCAGCAAGAAGATGAAGGTATTGACGAGTATGATGACGAGTGTGAGAAGGAAAGTCAGCCGCGAGGCCCTCGATGATTTGCCCCTGCTAAAAAGAGGAAAGTTAAAGGTCCATTGGACAGGTTTGTGACTACTCCTCCTGATGATATTTTGCTTGGAGGATCTTGTGACAAAGAGTTGAGGGAAGATGTATGTGGAAGTATAAGTAGGTGGTTTGTGGATGCTGGTCTTGCGTTCAATGCTGTCAACTATCCTAGTTTTCATGAGATGATTAAGTCAATTGGGCTATATGGACCAGGATTAAAACCACCGAGCATGTATGAATTAAGAGTTCCACTGCTTAAAAAAGAAGTTCATAACACTCTTGTCCAAATTAAGGAGAACAAGAAGGAGTGGGCTAGTAAAGGATGTTCACTTATGTCAGATGGTTGGTTTGATTCAGTGGCTAAGAAAGACATTGTCAACTTCTTAGTTAATTCCTCCAAAGGTTATGTTTTCATGAAGTCCAAAGATGTTTCTGATGTGGTGAAAGATGCGAATTTGCTGTATAAGATGCTAGATGATATGGTTGAGGAGATTGGAGAAGAATATGTAGTTCAAGTTATCACAGACAATGCAAAGAACTACATAAAGGCTGGTACGTATGTTATATTCAGCGTTTACATTTATTTGTTTAAAAGCTGGTACATATGTTTGAACGTCTATAATTATTTGTTTTAATACTTTATATTTCAGGAAAATTGCTTGAAGCAAAAAGACTCCATGTGCTGCTCATTGCATTGATCTAATGCTGGAGGATATTGGAGAATCCCAGCACTGAAGAAAGCCATGAAAAAATGCATGTTCATGAATGGATATATCTACAGTCATATCCCTCTAGTGAACATGATGAGGCAATTCACCAGGCAAAGAAATCTGCACAGACCGGCTATAATAAGGTTTGCTACCTTTTTTTTTTTTGCAAAGGAATTTCAAAATAAAATTCCATCATTTCCTATCATATAGGATTGCTACTTCTTGCATCACGATGACTCAGTTTCTCAAACAAAAGAAGCCTTTAAGGGAGATGGTCAATTCTGCTGAATGGAATGAGTCTAAATGGCCCAAAGAAGCTGGAGCAAGAAAAGTTAGGCAGTATCTTATGCAACCGAGTTTTTGGAAGCATATTCGAACTGCTCTGAAGCTGATGACACCTCTTGTCAAAGTACTTAGGATGGTTGATGGAGAGAAGAAACCAGCTATGGGTTATATATATGCAGCCATGGATAGAGCAAAAGAAACGATCACAAGGGATTTCAAGGGGAACACAGAGAAGTACGAAAAAGCCTTTGAGATCATTGACAAAAGGTGGCAGTGTCAGCTTCACCATCCTTTGCACGCTGCTGGGTATTTCTTAAACCCTTCAATCCATTACAAATATCACGATGATGTACGTTGCGCAGAAGTGGAAGGGGGCTTGTACAATTGCATTACTAGGTTGGTGTTTTAAACTGTGTTTTTGTTTTGCATTAATAGGTTGGTATACAATTCTCACACAATATTTTTTTTTTTGGTGCATGAATAGGTTGGTTCCAAATACAGAGACTCAAGACAAGATAATGACAGAGTTGGATGCATTTAAGAATGCTACTGGTATCTTCGGACATGTCATGGCCATTAGGCAAAGAGAGATCAAAACACCAGGTAACACAAACTGGAATTAATTTTTGATAATTGATCTAAATTAATACTAAAGAATATTTCTTTTAATAGCCGAATGGTGGTCTTGTTATGGATCTTCTACTCCAAATCTCAGAGACTTCGCTGTTAAGATCCTTAGTCTGACTTGTAGTGTTTCTGGTTGTGAAAGAAATGGAGTGTTTTCCAACGTGTAAGTCATTTTAATCACCTTTATTTTATAATTTTAGTTGATTTCGTTTCACTTATAATTTTTAAATTTGATTTGTAACAGCTTCATACGAAGAAAAGAAATCGACTAGCACAACATCGGCTGAACAACATAGTTTTTGTGAAGTATAACCAAGCTCTAAAACGCAGAAGCATGAGAAGTGAGAGTGTCCCCAAAGATCCTATTCTTTTGAATGAAATTAATGAAAGCAATGAGTGGTTGCTTGGAAGAATGGATGGAGATTGTCTGATGATGATGGTTTGGTGTGGGAAGATGATGATTTTCCATGGAATGTTGTGAGCCAAGCTATGGGTGTTGAAGAACCCAACTATTCGACTAGAGGAGCTACAAGTTCATCTAAAAAAGATAAAGGAAAATGTATTGCTAGTTCAAATCAGAAGAAAAGCTATGGACAATCTACATTTACTATGACATTGGTTGATGAGGAGGATGAGTTGGAAGAAGATTTAGATGACTTTGGGTATGAGGATGTTGACTTTGATGATGAAGATGAGAATGATGGTGTTTCTGAAGATGATTTTTAGGTATTGTTTAAGTTATTTATTATGGTTTTATACATTTGAAACTTTGCTTTTGGGTTTTGGTTTTGAATAATTTTGTTTTGAGTTTTCATTTATGATTCTGAGTTCTATTGCAATTTGCAAATTCCTAACGTAAAGTGTTCTCTATAAGACATAACTAATGATGTATTAGACTATTAGTGCTAAGACAGTATCCTTGATCATGAAGACATAACATGAGACACTACTAGAAGAGAAGGGAACAACTTGAATGAGCTGCTTCCCACGTTCATCACCAAGGCGAGCGCCATATTGCGCCATGGCGCAGGGCGCAAGGCTAGGACCTGCTCGCCTTAGAGTGCCATGCGCTATTTTAAACACAGTATGTATCTCTGTTTACTGGAGCTGAGGATTCAGAAGTGATTGAGCGGAGAAGTAAAATGCGGAAGCAGATCAAGGCCAATATTATTGTTGCTGCTGCTAGTGGGAAAGAGTTAGAAGGTATGTAGAGATGCTTATTTTATTTCCTTTCTCATGGACACTATAAAATGATGATTTGTGTTAACTTTGTGATGTGGACAAACAGAGACGGGAAGTGAAGATGATGGTCTTCTGGAACTGAGTGATGATGATTTCTTTGCCAAAGGGAGCTCTAGCGATGAAGCTGACACAGATGATGAATTGACTGATAAAAGCACAAAGTAGGCTTATTAGTAATTTTGGAATACTTTCTTTTAAAATCTTCATTACTCTTTTAATTTTCTGATGATAATTTCTCAGGGAGGCTGCTTCTAGTAGAGCACCATGTGGCATGTCTAGTGATGAAAGGAATCAGGTATGTTGAGCTTTCTTTATATTATCTAGCTGTTATAAACTGAAACCTCATTGATGTTGTTGTATGGTAGAAGAATGATTGAGAATAATGAATGGTGATGCCACTTTTTCTATGATTGATTTACAAGTTTGAATGTTGTAAAAATCTTGTAGAAGCAAAACTCTGCGAAGGCCCTAATGCCACCACCACAAGCAAGGTTTGGACCAAATTCTAGGAAGAATTCGTCTATGAAAAGGAATGAGAAGCCATCATCCTCAAGAAACAGAAGAAGTGAGTTCTCATGTAATGCCAGGGGTGCTGACACAACTTCATATAGCAGTCAGAGTAGCAACTTGAGCTCCAATTCTGATTCTCATAAACCCAAAAGGAAGAGACGACCGAAGAAAAAGAAGCAACAGGTCAGTTTACGAGATTGTAGCAAAAGAATTCTCAGCATGGTTTTGTCTTTCTTTTACTTATAAACATAAGTGGGGGTTATTGGTTCTAGGATTTTATAGATTTAGAAATCCTTTTTGGATTTTGAAAATTTTGACAAATCCACACATTTTAGAATCAAATACGTAGATTTCAGAGTCAATGAATTAGATTTCAAAATCAATATAATTGAATTATTAGAAATCAACGAAATGGATTTGTGATAAACGCAGTTTTGTAACAAAAGAAAATATATATAAAACTACAACATATGGTTTATCATTTTCTATATCTTATGTTATTATGATAACATAAAATCTCTCTCATATTTGTTATTATTGCCATTCTCACTTGATTGGCATATTCTGTTTGTTGATTTTCAGTTCCAGTAACTTCCTCAAGATCTTCTTCTTCATCAAAACTTTTTTATTTAGAAAAGTTATCGATTCGTCAGAACTTTTTAAAAAGACTACACGTAAACTAACACACAAATATTCTCTCAGTTTGTGTCTTATAAGCAAAAGGGGATGCACATTAAAAATTAAAAATCGAGATTTGAGTATATCAAAAATTCTTAACATTTCTCAGAAAAACATGATGATGGTAAACAACTCTTTGTCATTTATGGAGTAGAATTTTTCCAGAAAACATTTGTAGACAAAAACTCTTATGAGAGATCTTTGGTAAATTTTTATATTAACGTCTACATGTACGTAAAGCTAAGTTAGAGATGTTGGTTAATATATTAGTATTTGCTTATTATTAGAGAAACATGGATAATATGTACGTAAAACTTGGGGCAAGAAAACAATTATTAAGAAAATCAATAATACACTATCAAAATAACAAGGTTCAACTCAATATTTGCTTCTTTGTATTTTTAACTCACAAATCCACTCAAATCTATTTTAAAATCAAATCCTCAAGCAAATCATTATTATTGAATAACGCCTGATTTTAAAATCTATTTTAAAATCATAAAACCAATAACAATGAATTTGAATATAGATTTTAAAATCATAGAACCAATAACAATGAATTTGAATAGGGATTTTAAAATCATAGAACCAATAACATTATATTTGATTTGTATTTTCAAATCCACTAAAATATACAAATCAATAACACCCTTGAGCCCTGTCTTTGCAGGCGTGATCGGGTTCTAAGCGTCTCCGAACACACTTGCTTCAGCGGTCTCTTTAGATTCTGGTGTGGTCATGGAATGCAAAGAGATAGATGTGGTTGCTTTTTGCTTTTGAAGTGGAAAGTTGTAAAACCCTAAAAACTTTTGTGGCTAAAGTCAAAACTCCCTTACGAACCTCTGTGAAAAAAATCAGAGTTTTTGTGTTTCTCTTTTGCTCCCAAAGATAGAACGCCCCTCGAATCAATATCTTCAGTTAAGATATTTGAATGTTTGACACTCTGGTTATGTGGAAAAGCGTGTGGACCAAGACAAGGGACTTCTTGTATCACCGCCTGTTGCCTTATTCACTTGTATCATGTGCATCATACTCGGTCTCCTTGAAAAGTAAGATCAGAGAAGACACATGTAAAATGTGTATTAGGGATATATATCCCACATCGGAAATTCAATGGGACCTTAAGTAATATATAAAGGGTTAGGGCCAATCCACTATTAACCAATTGGTTTTAAGTTGGAAACCCGTAATAAACCCGAATCTAACATGGTATCAGAGCCAGAATCCTAAAAAAGGCCCTAAACTCCTAATTAATTAATTACCCTTCCGACTAGGTATAATTGTCGTATTTGACTCGCTCAGTTCCGAGATTGCTGGCCGATAAGAGCCATCATCTCGAGGAGGGGTATTAGGGATATATATCCCACATCGGAAATTCAATAGAACCTTAATTAATATATAAAGGTTTTAAGTTGGAAACCCGTAATAAACCCGAATCTAACAATGTGGACACAAAATCTCTTGTTTGTGAACAATAACCCTTAATTTTACCAACCCCTAAACCTTTCTCAGAGTTTCTATATAAAAATAATCCCAATCTTATATATTAAAACAGAAGTCATGACTTGACTTCATGTGTGATTTTTTTTTAAAAATGGACTATTACTAGAAAGTCATGTTACATTAACTCTCTAATAATCTTATCATTATTATATCTTATGAAAAATCATATCTATAATAACAAAGATAAGCCAAATAATTTGGTTTTGGTAAATTATCCCACACCTTCCAACTTAGTCACGCAAAATATGTCAATAGATATAAGTTTAGGAATCTTCTATTATTTATAAGGAAATATGTCAATAATAGTTAAATGCATCAACAATATATAAACAAAAATCACAGATTCGTAATATGAAATCTTTATATACCCTAACAAAATTTACATGCTATATATACTAGAAATTTTTATTTCGATGTAAATTTTTAAAAATATATTGTTTAAAAAAAATAAATTGTTTTAAAATTTTTTTTTAATAAAATTATTTATAATATTAATTTATAAAGCTATAAATTTAGTTTTTAGCAAAAATATTTTTGATGTTTATATTATCTTTGCAAATTAAAGTATACTAATATTTAATCAAACTCTATTTATATTACTTTATCTAAAAATGAAATATTAATCTAACAAACAATAAAATATAGAAGAAGAAACAAACACATGTTTGAAAAGCATGTATAATATAGAAAATTTGAAACAATCTATTTGATTAAAATACGTATTATATAATATTATTATGTTTGAAAAACATTTACTATACATATCGTAAATATGTGATTACTATAATATATACCAATTTACAAGTGAAAACAAAATGTTTATATAACTAACTATAAACGAAAATAAACACCCGCGCGGTTGCGCGGGTCAAAATCTAGTCTTTATTATTACACATTTTTTTGGGGGGGGGGGGTTTAGACATTATTAGAAAGCATTAGCATGTGCTGATGCTGCAACTCACTAAATGAATTTATGTTTTTTTTTCCAATTTGATAAAATTCATTCAAACGAATGATACAAAGTATAATGGGAAAACAACAATTAAAACTTCAAATTTTCAAATAAAAGCTAAAAAAATTTCAACTCGTGTTTGAACCAAAAAAAATCATTAACTTTCAAACAGTAGTCATTTTAATTTTCACATTTTGTTGATTCGATTATTTAAAAATAGATGTATGTTAACTCTCTAAATGATGTCATTTAAAAAATAATTAAATGACATTGTTTTGCTTCTAACACTTAAAACATATCTTTTGTGAAATCAAGATTCCAAAACGATTTTATCTTCCTCACTTTCGGAACCCTAGTTTCTGGAAAAAGATATTTTAATTATTTACAAAAATAAAACGTCATTGTTTGATAAGTGTTTAATCATTTTTTCTATAAAATAATGTTGTTTAAGGAGTTAACATGTATCTATTTTTTTAATCGGGTTTAACAGTTGACTATTCAGATTTTTCAGATAAGTGAGTTAACAAAATATAAAAATTAAAATGATGAATATTTGAAAGTTGAAGAATTTTCGGGTTCAACGAAAAAAAAATTTGTTTTAGTTTGAAAGTTCAAGTTTGATGGTAGTTTTCTCAAAGTTTAATACATACTATTGAATATATTCTATTAATTCTGGAGCATGACTTATTGATAAAAGTCATGTCCAACTATTTTTATCAATATTATCAAACTACATCAAAACTCTAAGCATTATTAGAAAAACTAACTCCATATCCCACGTTTCAATATAATATATTTTGTATAACTCTCAAAATAACCGAATCCAATAAAATACTATCGCTTTTTTATTTTATATAATTGCATCTAAAACCACATTGATTATTTGAAATTGAATACCTAATATATTTATATATGCGGTTTGTACAGACTCAAAGTTAATAAATGGATATAAGTGTGAGGCCTATAAATTATATGCAGTTTGTACAAACCCAAAGTAAATAGATATGTTTTCAAATAAACGATCATTCATAGTATTATTTAGGGATAAATACATGTAATGTTTCAAAATATAAATACTGATTACATTTTCATAAATAATATTCCCTTAAAAAAACATAACAGGAACATTAACAATGATAAATTTTATCCGTCCTTTCAAATCTCATCATATATTAATTTTTTTTATTAATGTAGTTACAATTATATTTTCTTATTAATATAAATAGAATAAATAGAGTTAACTAATATTAATATTCATTAGTGGTGAAATGGGTTATTAATGACATTTAGTTTTTATAAGTGAATTTTTAACAGAAATAAATATTCATATAAAGTCATTTAGTTTAATAGATTTTAAATATATTATTCAATTAAAAAATATTTATTTGATATGATTTAACTTAAAGTTAGTGAAGACCATATTAACTCATATACATATATATATATAACAGAAAGTATTAAAAATTAAAATATTGAAAAAGAAATTCCAAAATTTTGGTTTGTTTTCTGTGCGAGTTGAGTTTGATATTGATACTCGAATATAACACTATAAGAGCCGTTCGAGTATGTAGATCATGTGTAACATATATGAAATTTTGATTTTCAAGTCGATTCAGGATCGTTTCTTAGGTATATATATTTTTAACTCATTATTTTAGGTAATTACTAAGAAATATAATATGTTGTAAAATTTAGTAATAAGTTTTAAAATAATTTCTGAAATGTATATGGTATAAGTGTATAGTTATACAATATGATATATTTAATAAAGTTACCAAAACTTTTATTAAATTAAATTAATATTAAAAACATAAAAATAAAAATTAAATTTCTTATAAAAAACTAAAAATAGAAAACTAATTAAAGGACGGATAAGAAGCTAGTTTATATTATATAACACTGATCATAATAATAAATCAAGAGCAATTTAGCTAGAAAACCAAAGAAGATATCATAATTAGCAAAATACCAAAGAGGGAAAACTATGTGCTTACGTGTTCAATCAGGTGATGGTAAAAAGACATAAACACCCTACCCGAATTATTTCTCCACTTCAGGTCACAGCTTCTGACAGAAGATCAAGAAAAGATTTGGCAAGTCACAGTTTCCGAAA